AGGAGGAAAAAAGAGGAGATGGTTGGGGCTGAAGAGATGGCTGAGCTGTTAGGAACGCATACTGCTTCTGAATCAGAAAGTGCTGCTCAGGTGTAAGACTTCAAACCTTGGTCTGCAATACTGTAATGTCCACCTGCAGCTTAGGGAGACAATCAGCTATTGTTCTAAAATGATGGCCAAATTTGTTTTCTTCCCCTATCTAGAAGCCTTTGGGAGGGAACTGACACTGATTCTAACCATTCCAACAGCTGTCAAAATACATGAAAGCAAATCCTGAATCTATCACTCTGGAGTCCAGCCTTGGCAGGCCAAAGAAAACCAAGGAGGAACCCAATAGAGGGATGTTTTTGGAAGCCTTTGTCAAGAAATTTCAATGGACTCTCATACGAACATTTGAAATTTTCCCCGTTCTGACTTTTTTCTAGTTCCCTGTCTAGAACTTGTAATGCTAATTACTCTTGCCTTTACTTCTCCTTCACATCTCCTATTCACCAGTCACAATGTCAGGGCTGGAGAGATGGCTCAGCAGTTAAGAGCACTGACTGCTCTTGCAGAGGACCTGGGTTCAATTCCCAGCAGCTACATGGCAGCTATGAACCGTCCTTAACTCCAGTTCCAGGGGAATCCGAAGCCCTCTTCTGATCTCCGCAGCATTGCACGACACAGGTGCTCTCACATACATGCAGGCAATAACACTCATAAAAAATAAAAATTAAAATTAAAAAATCCCAGCACTCAGGAGGCAGAAGCAGGCGGATCTCTGTGAGTTAGAGGCCAGCCTGGTCCACATAGTGAGTTCCAGGACAGCTGAGGCTACAGGGAGACCCTGTCTCAAAAAGACCAAAAAAAATAAAAAATAAAGAAACCTCACAATGTCCTTGGGCCTCTTAGCAACATACTCCATTCCAAAGACCCAAAATGTCAAAAGTATTTGGGAGCTTTTATCCAATCCTTAAAATATTTTAGGGTTACCTCTTCAGAGGGAAGAATGTTAGAGTAGCCAAAAGCCCCAAAAAGAAAAGAAAAGAAAAGAATAAGAAAGAATAGAAGAAAAAAAGAAACAGAGGATCTTACTGAAAGAGAAGCATTGTCAAGATATGTACACCAATATGTTAAGACCAACTTCTCTTTTCCAACAGAATCTTTACAGAATTGCAGATAAGACTACAGTCCTAGATCTGACTTGCTATTCTCTTTCAGAGTGATTGTATAATGAATTAATACATGTGAATAATTCACTGTAGAGCTTGTTCCATAATATATGTTCAAATATCTGCTTTTACTTAAAAAAAAGAATAAAATCCTTGGCTCAAAAAATAAATAAATAATAAGTAAATAAATAATAAATAAATAACTAAATCCTGCAGGGGTGCACCTGTGTGCATGTACATGCGAGTGTGGAGGCCAGGGATGGACCTTGAGTGTCATTCCTCAGAAGCCAACCACATCACTGAGGCTTCTTTTGTTTGCAAGGGATCGTTTGTTTGTTTGTTGTTTGTTTGCAATAAGGTCTCGCTGAGTCTCCCTGGCAGACCTGGAACTCTCACTATGTAGGTCAGCCTAGCCTTGAACTCACCGAGATCTGCCTCCAAAGGGCTGGATTAAAGGTGTGAGCCACCACACCAGGCCCCACATTGTCTATTTGTTTGTTCATTTTGTGGATTTTGTTGTTGCTGTTGATAATTTAGTTTTTTGAAAATTTCATATGTGAGTGCTGTGTTTACATCACTTTCACTCCTCTTCTCTCATCTCCAACTCCTCTCACACGCCCCAGTCTCTATTTCATGACCTCTTTTTATTACTGATACAAATATACATACACTGACTATAGTGTATATGTAGTGTATATGTACATATATACATATATTGTTGATATCTATATATCCTGAGTCCGTTTAGTGCTGCCTCTATGAACGTGTGTCTAGGGCTGACCACTTGGGATTGAATAATCTATGAGGGAGGACCTCCCTGGAGAAAAATGATTCTCCCTCTCAACAACAATGGATTGCCTGTGGGTCTTCATGTAGAGGTGGGACCTTGTGAAATTTCCCCATCTGTGGTGGCGTGTCAGCTGGTTTTGTCATGATGCAGGTCTTGTTTAGACGGTCATATTGTTGAGATTTCATGGGTGCTGCTTCCCTGTCATGTCTAGAATACTCTCTCTAGCAGTAGGCGTCCTAGTCCTCTGACCCTCTTTCCACCCCCTCTTCTGCAACCCCTGAGCCTTAGGTATAGGGGTTACATTAGCGATGTACCAGTTGGGGCTGGGAACCCCACAATCACTTCTCTGCATTTTGACCAGTTATACATCTCTGTAATAGTCTCTAACTCTTGCGAAAAGAAGCATCTTTGATGAAGGGTGAGAGCTACACACATCTGTAAGTGTAAGTATTTAGAATACAGTTAGAAATTATGGTGCTTTAGGAAAACGGCAGTAGTATGTTCTATGACCTCTCCAACTACAGGTATTTGTCTACATTTATAGCATCAGGGGTTACATTAGCGATGTACCAGTTGGGGCTGGGAACCCCACAATCACTTCTTCTCTGCATTTTGACCAGTTATACATCTCTGTAATAGTCTCTAACTCTTGCGAAAAGAAGCATCTTTGATGAAGGGTGAGAGCTACACACATCTGTAAGTGTAAGTATTTAGAATACAGTTAGAAATTATGGTGCTTTAGGAAAACGGCAGTAGTATGTTCTATGACCTCTCCAACTACAGGTATTTGTCTACATTTATAGCATCAGGCATGAATTCTCTACTAGTGAATGGGCCTTAAGTCCTACTGGACAGCTGTTGGTCACCCCCCAAGATAAAAGCATCACTATTGCACCACTTGGGATATCTTGCTGAGCTGGTCATTGCTGTGGTTCATAGACTTTAGAGCTGGGTGAGACTTCATTGTCTCCCTTGGCAGCTTGAGTAGCACCTTCTGGTTATCATGAGAGCTAGTCCTCAGGGAGACTTCTAGATCAGTTCCAGCTCAATTTCTTCAAGTTCTATGTCTGGAGTGTGCGGTTTCTTCAACAATAGGATCTTACCTTCAAGTTCTGAGAAGCAAACAAGGGTGATAGCAATCGCATATAGTGTTTGGAAAGTCTCCTTGACTATCCTGACCAACAACTTGAATGGGGATTTTTCCATGCCTGGCACTGGGGTTTTTGTTAGTAGTCTATGTATGTTGGGGGTTTGAGGGAACTGAGGACCAAACCAAGGCCTTATGCTTGCAAAGTAAGCACTTTACCGCTGAGCTTTTTAAGCTTATGAAATGTTCCCCCATGGCTTTTTCAAACATACCTAATGCTATTTATTGCTCCTCCCTCTCCCATTTTGTTACCCTCCCTCCCTTCCCCAGTTAAAGTCCTCACCCCTGTTTTTTCCCATTTCTCCCTTGTTTTTTGAGACAGAGTCTCGGGACTGGGACCTGGAGCTAACTAATTAGGCTAAGCTAGCTGGCTAGCAAGCTCCAAGGATCCTCCTGTCCCCACCTCTCCAGAGCTGAAATCACAAACATGAACCACCATACCTAGGTTTTTATTTGGGTGCTGAGGACCAAACTCCAGACCTCATGTTTGCAGGACAAGCGCTTTACTAGCTCAGTTATTTCCCTAGCCCGAGAACGTTTTATTCATCTCCTTTATCCATGTCCCTCAAACACAAACTGCCTTTTCTCTTATGAATGTGTAGAGTACATTTCTAACCTCTGTCACATTTATGACCCTATTTCTTGGATTGTAGCTATTTGTATTATCTCTTATTAGTCTTTGAAGGGTAAGAGTCTTTTAGCAACTTTGAATCCCTCTGTTCCTAAACATGCTAGATGACTAATAAAAATTTAAACTGATAAAGAAAGTAGCTTCACCTTTCTGTGGTAAGTTCAGCCTATTTCTTCAACACAGAAAATGACTATTACCTGCAGATTCAGCACCCCCACACCCTACTTCCTTCCTTTCCTGTAGGAAAAGAACATAGCCAGACACTTCAGATCAGGCCCTTTATTTGGAACAGAAGAGAAATCTCTTGCTGTAGTGAAAATGCCATCAGGGACACTAAGCGAGGGTCTAAAGTCCAGTGCTCCAGTCGGGTATCCCTGGAGAAGCATTCTCAAGAGTCCAGTGGAGTCACTACAGGGTACAGTCCTCAGAGACAAATCGGCTTCAGGGTGATAGAAAGAGGCAAACTGAGGTAGCATAGAGTAGAGGAGTTCCGGGAACACGGGCCAGAGCAGCAAGGACATCGGGAACTCACAACTTCTCACAGCGCCACTGTTCCAGCTTCTCAGAGCAGAGCGGCTTATGGGCCAACCTAGGTGTGGAAAAAGGGACAAAGTGAGTTGACAGGCTGGATTTCTTTTTTTAAGTTCCTATGCAAAATAATGTGCTTCACTACGGGAATCAAATATCTTCACATGTGAATGTCATCACTGTGAGCACCAGTGTCGCCTCACCCTGTCCTGCCCCCTCTCCCCTCCTGCTGGCGGCTGGCTATATTGTAGCTTAAAGTTAATTTAGCTTCATCCTCAGCATAAGGTTGGAAGAGTATAGATGAGATGACACACTTTCCTCGACAGATGACGAGGGCTTCTAATGAGGGAGGGCCCACCAAGAATCTCCAAGAAAATGTAAGAGCTAGAAAAGATGGGTAACTACACCAAAGGCTGGCTTTAAGGATAGGACTTGGCCAGAAGGGAGGCCTGAGTAACAGACTTCCAACAGGGAGCTTCTCACTGGGAAAGCTGTGACACCGGAAACAAGCAAAGGGGCATTTGAAAAATGGAAGCTGGTGTCTGCTAGATGATTTTTCTGAGACTCTATCCAAGATTAAATCAGGAGACAAAAGGAGAGGAAAGCTCGCAGGCCACTGAGGTTAAGGAGAAGGGGAGACAATAGAAAATCCAGCAATTTACCAGTAGTCAATTCCTTTGATAGCCAGGATCTTCTTGGCACACATTATGTCATCAGTAAGGTCATCATCCAAGAACTCTGGCAGGAGTGTGAGGAAGTGAGAGAGTTAAGAGGTATTGCTTAGAAAGGTAATGAATCCCTCTGTTCCCTAGATCCAGTGACCCTGGCTCTGTGAACTGAAGGCTTATGCCTGCTCATTTTCTATGTGAAAAGGCCAACATGGTAATGCCCCCCAACCCCAGGTAATGGACTTCCTTCCCTTCCCTGGGACACCTCTAGAGAACTCATCAACCTCATCAACTGATACCCTGAGAAGGCAGACTATCAGACTTCAACACTCCCAAACAGCCTCAAACTTCAGGGGACTGTCTAAGGACTTAGGGATCATGACAACACCCATTTCTCATTAGCACTGCCACTTCAAGTCACACAGCTTTGGAAGCAGTGATGCCAGAAGTGTACTTAATATTAGAAAGGAGATTATCTCAGGGAGAAGGCCGTAGGGAACCAAAGAACAGGGGAAAACAGGCTACTCACTGTCGCAGGAAATACCGCAGATGTTCTCTGACTCAGGAATCAAACTACTCTTGCACCAAAATTTGTCACTGATCTGGAAGAGTCCATACTCTGTGCTGCCATTATTTTTTACTACAGCTTGCGTGTCATAACCACTGCTATGAAACACAATACAAGTCCCTGAGGGAAATAAGAGAAAGAATATCACAGAGATGTCGAGGATCAGCATAAATGGGGAGCTATAGCTCCCAGGCAGGAAGAAAAGGGGCTTTCCAGACAATCTCCAAAAATGGCAAAGTATAGAGTATTGTGATGAAGTGAGCAGAGTTCCAAATGGATCGAACAACATGGAAGAAAGGAAGGATGGCAGAAGAAATTGAATAGAGTATGCAAATAACCAAAGAATTAAGAATATGACTCGATAATTATGTGAAAGGAGAAAAGAAGAAACAGAGGGGGTGGGAAGAGATGAATGGGGAACAGGATGAAAGGGAGCGAGAAACTCACATTCAAGCAAAGAAACACCTTGATAGCCATCCATGTCTTTCATCGCCTCGGACACCTTACATTTTGTAAGTTGCGTGGCTTGCATGGCAGGGAACAAAATGCTCACCAGGAACAATGGGACAACAGACATCATTTTGGCTACCCCAGGATCTGAAATGGGGATACTACTCAGATTCACCTGCTTTTATTGATGAAGAAAACTTCGGGAGCCCTGCCATCAAGCCTTATATCTAGGAAGAAGATGAAGAGAGTGCTTATGCCAAGAAAGAAACACGGAGCCTGCCAGCTACTCTTCCTTCCCTTCCTCCTCCATCTAGTCAATACCAAGTATTGTTCTCTGCCCAGAGTTCCATGCACGCTCCAGCTTCTCATTTATTTAAGCCTTCATTTCTTTTAGGGTTAGTTCTAAGAAGCAGGATGTCCCTAACCTGCTTTAGGAACAAAGGGGGCTTCAGGGACAATACAAGTGAAGCAATTAGAAAATACCACAGGGGTTCACAGCCAATTCTCTTCTTCCCCCTAAAAGCATACAGAATGTAGAAAGGGGATGTGTGTCAAAGGAAGAATTCCAGGAAGAATCCTTTGACATGGTTTATAGCTGAAGCCCTCAGAAAAAGGGATAAGAACATGGAAACATAAAATATGAGAATCAAATATGACTTGGATCCCAAGACTTCCTACTGAGGGAGATAAATAATTGAAAAGCATGTACAAAAATATCTGACATGCTATTAACAAACTCCCCACCATCACTACCATAAATAACTAGATGCTATATCAAAATCAAGATATTGTGTAAACCTAAGGCTAATTTCATAATAACATTGCTCTTGGGAGAGGAATGTGTATAAAGCCCCAGAAGTGACCATGGACAGAAAGTGGATGGCCCAAGTCACTGAGACTGTGTCTAAAGGCTTTGAACAAGTTACCCAGTCAACTACAAAGTCAGTAACCCTGAACAAGTAAGGCTCAGGTACTAGTTCTGAATAATTTCTTTAACTTGGTGATATCCAGCTTTGTTTTCATGGTGTCAATAGTGGTTGTCCACCTTCATGCCAGTGCCCATCCTCTTCATCCCAGTTTATAAACCAGATTTCTTACATTCACAGGGTACCAATGCCAACCAAACTTCTTTTTTTAATATTTTATTTATTATTTTTATTTTATTATGTGTACAAGTGTATTGCCTGCATGTATGTGAGTACATCCGTGTCATACAATGCTGCAGAGGTCAGAAGAGGGCTTCGGATTCCCCTGGAACCGGAGTTAAGGATGGTTCGCAGCCACCATGTGGGTTCTGGAAATTGAACCCAGGTCCTCTACAAGAGTAGTCAGTACGCTTAACCACTGAGCCATCTCTCCAGTCCCCCAACCAAACTTCTTAAGACTTACAAACTGAAGGTCTCCCAAAGTGTTATTACCGACAAGTCTTCAGAGTCAGAGAAATGCTTCTGAGTTTAATCCCATCTTCTCTACTATAGGTAGCCAGGACATAATGTGTCAAGAATGAAGCTAGTGTAGACAACATGTGAATCGGAGAAAAACAAGCAGAAAGCCCCAATAGGAAAGAGACACACTCAGAAACACAGCAAAAGTGATGCCACCACAACATCTCTGAGTTCTGCCCAGAAGCATTGGAAGGGAGCTTGACAAGAATAAGAATTATCACAGTGAGCAAGTTTTGTGGAGAATGTGAATGGGGTCAGATGATGACCTTGACCAATACAGGGGGACAGATAAGGAAAGTTAGGCCTGATGACAAGTCTTCCCAATAGTGAGTCTATATAAAATGCCTTTGGCCCCGGAATATGGACTAAGCATCTATGATGGTGTTCTAGAGTCTTAGGAACCACAGAGATTTCCAGCTACATCTGCTTGCCAGAAATATGATTGTATCTCTGCCCTTCCCTATAAGCAATAAAAAACAGCATAAGGTTCAAGAATCATAGTTGGAGCCAGAAGAGGAAACAATTGTGCCTCAGGCGAGAGGAACAACTACTTCTCAAGAAATGTTTGTAAAATAGGACATCTGGGGCCATCTGGAAAAGAAGATAAATATCTAATGGGAACAACTGCAAAATTCAGAGAAAGACATAAATTTTTGGAGATGGAACAGCAAGCAATATTCACAGCATTGAAATAAAATAGAAGACGTAGGCGTGGCTGGTTTAGAAAGGCTCCTGCCCAAAGCTCTCTTTCCAGAGCTGTTTAGTGAGGGTCCTTCAAATGGAGGCTGAAATCTAAACCAAATGGTAAAAAGATATTTACCACACAGTTTTCTGGACCTTTTGTTTTAGGGAATTATTAGAATATCTATTCATTCTTTCAAAAAAATCAGGGTTTTTAAAACCAGAAATGGTTTTGGCAACTTTTAGCAGATATATTTGGCATTTGACACTGTACTTTGAAGGTAGGTGGTAGTATATTGAAAGCCTTAGGCTACCATGTGGGCCACAATAATATTGATCATCGCTTCTTATAGTTAATGTACCCATTTTTCTCCACTTCTTATAATTCAGGAAACTTATAATGGGTAGATAATGAAACTAGCCTTGTACTTGAAGCCTAAGCTTTTATGAGTTGTTTCGTGTGTGTGTGTGTGTGTGTGTGTGTGTGTGTATATATATATATATATATATAACCCTGTAACTCATTATGTAGGCCAGGCTACCCTCCTGTCTCTGCCTCCTAAGTGGTGGAATTATAGGTGTATGCCACCATGCCCATCATAAATAATTTTCTGAACATCAAATTTTTAGTATCAAAACATATATATTTTCCTTTTGGTCATGTTTCATATGGATTTGGTGCTTTAACTAAACTTATTCTTAAGTATGTTCCTTTTTTTTCCTTTTTAAGGCAGAGTCTCTGTTTGGCTAGTCTAGAACTCAATACATAAACCAGGCTGGCCTTGAATATCCACTTGCCTCTGCCCCTGAGTGCTGGCATTAAAGATGGGCACCACCATCCCCAAACCAGCAGGTGCCGTATTAGGGGCTAATATGAATGGGACATTTTCCCCTTTCCACGTCCAGGCATTTGTAGGACGTACAGAGAACAGGTGCTCTTTTGCAAATGAGCAGTCTCCATAGCCACCTCAGCCATGTAGAATATTATAAATTTCATACTTTATTATAAATGTCAATGTTTGGGAATTTCTAAGTACATAGTCAGATAATCACTAAAGATGAGAGGTAAGCTCTTTCTTTTATTATTTGGTTTCCAGCAAAGAAAAACTGTCAGAAAACTGCCTGCCACTGGCATAGCTCATGGCATAAAATGATTATCTATAGCAGTATAGTTCTCCAAAGAGAATATAAAAACATCATTTTGTTCCTTGTCTCGAGTTCATATTTACATATTTCATCCAGTCAAGGAAATTCCAACTAAGAAAGGAAATTTAAGGTGGATATGGAAGAAGCTTATGAAATGTCCTCCTTGGACTGGGACTACAGCTGAGTGATGAAGCACTTGCCTGGCATGCCTGAGGCCTAGGTTCAACTCTCCCACCATAAAAAAGAAAGATCCTTCTTGGAGGACCTTAAAGTTCTCACAGATTAAGTCAGCCACATATGATATAAATATATCTAGATATATGTCTATATTGGTATGTATTGATATATATATATATATATATATATATATATATATATATATTTACCAAACAGCCAAGTAAGCCATTATGAGTTTAAGTGAGAAAACTAAGTTCCCTCCCTTGAAGACAGTCATCTCTCCCAATACCAAATCTGCTTCCCAGGTGCAGACCACTGGGAAGGCCACTAGATTCAGACAGAGAAGCTGAAGTCCTCTGCCTCTGTGGAAGACAATTCTTCAGAGTCATCCAGCTCCAAGGACCTTTTATGGAATCAACTGAAGCTTTTGATGTGACAGTAGTACAGTTCAAGTTCTGGTCAATCCCACCTCCAGCAATCCTCCAGCCACAGGTGCTGAGCACAAGTACATCCCCAATAAACCTCCTGCATGCAGAGCCCCTTTAAAGATTAACCCAGGGGGAGAGTGCCTGATCTGGCCTCTGCCTAGGGTAGGGGCTGAAATCTCAGCAGACCACTTGAGAGTGCCTGGATCCAGCCTCCATGTGGTGGTGAGCTTTCCCAAATCATGCCATACCAGACCCCATAACTGGAATTATGTGAGGCCCTTCCCACGGCCCCAGGAGTAGACCCACCCTACTGTAGAGCAGAGACCTAAGCAGAAGGCCTAAGAGTGCCTGCTGAGAACTCAGTAGATTACCTGAGAGTGCCAAAATCAGGTCTCCCCTAGAAAACTTTTAAATTGTGCTCTGAGTACCCACTAGTAGGAGTCCAAATGGTAGAAGGAAGCCTGAGTGTACCTGACTGGAGCCTGACTTGGGCTTCTGTGGGAGCTCCTGAGTAGCTGTTCTGAAGCCGTCAGTTCCCGCCAAAATAAAATTTGAGAGAAACTGAAACCTGTACCAACCAGCTTTACATACCCAATAAGAAAATAACCAAGGCACACCAATAATACAAACGGAAGCAGACTTCAGCTCAACAAAGGAAAGCTTGAGTTTCATACCAGAATCACAAACAGCAAAAGAAATCCACATGTAAAAAGTGCAATGGAAAAATAATAACAGGGAAAACCAAAACATTATGTTCCCACCAAACTCCACCATTCCTATAGAAGAGTTCTATAAGGAGAGCCCCCTAGAGATAACCCAGGACACAGAATTTAAAAGAACAATCATAAACATGATCAAGGAATCCAACAAATTTAAAGAACACATGAACAAATCAAAGAACTAAAAGAAGGTAGGGATAAACTTCTGACTGAATTCACAAGAGAGAAACATTGAAGAAAACTCAGGCTGAAACGAAGAAGGCAGTGAAAAACTCAATAAGCCAGTTTGAAACAACAGGGGAAAGCCTCACCATTAGAATGAATGACATGGAAAACAGAATATCAACACTGGAGGATAAAGTTGAAGAATTGGACTGCTCAAGCAAAAATTAAGAAAAAATTTTAAAAACACAGAAATGGAATATGCAGGAGATGTGGGATACCATGGAAAGACCAATTCTACACATCATAGGAATAGAGGAAGGAGAAGAATTTCAGGTTAATGGTATTCATTAGATCTTCAACAGGATTGTA